AAGATATTCATGATAGTTTTATAACATCAAAAAGTTGGAAACTGAGTAGATAACAATAAATGTTTACTGAGTATTTACCATGTGTAAGCTACTTATAAGTGATAAAGTAATAATGCCTTAATAATAGAATCTGTTAAGAAAATTATTGTAAGTGTCCTAAGTATTTCAAGTATTATATAATAGTTTAATTTACTCTTCACATTAAACAATGTAAAGCCAGTACTATTGTTATCTCCAAGTTATGCAGACATACTTGGTCATGGTCACAGCTAATAAAAAATAGGATGTCTGCTTAAAACTCTACACTCTTATTTACCAACCCTGCACCCCATAATACGGGATTATGCCATGTATAACTACAGGATAAATTACCATTAAGTTAATATAAACCTCCATATTTAGAAGGACATTTCATTAAATGAAAAAAATTCATGTTTTACATAAAAAAGTCATAATGTAAAATAAAAAAGCAAACATATACCAGGACATAGATTCCTTAACTGAATTAGTAACCAAAAGTTAATTACAGCTTGTTTTAGCTGGTATGTAAGTCATGATATTATTCTTTCTTCAATTATATCTGACTTCAATGAGTGAATGACTGAAAGAACTGGACAGACATTGAGTCCTGGTTATGAGCCTGGTTCTATTCTAGGTTGTGAGGAAGCAATTAAACAGAAAAACACTTGCTCTCACAGTGTTTACTTTCCAGTAAGAGGAATAAGACTCTAAATAAGCGAACAAGAACATTTAATTTCAGGGAGTGATGAATGCTATAAACACAGTAAAACAGTGTAACCTAACACAGTGAGTGTCGCGGGTAGTCTCAGACAGGACAAAGAAGTGACATTAAACCGAAACCTGATTATAAATAAGCTACTTACATAAATACGGGATGGGAAAGGAGGCATTCTAGGTGGATAGATTGGCATGTGCAAAGGCCCTGGGGCAGAAATGGCCTTGGCAAGCTGGAAGAACAGAAATAACTTACAGCAGCTGAAACATGTTGGGCACACACATCTGTGGTATGAGGAAGCAGGATTCTGGATGAAGACACGTGGGCTGAACTGACAAGGGTTTAGGATAGCCTTAGCGCCAGGTGTTGGAAATCACTGCTTCCTTCAGTTTGTGACCTGTTTCCTGGTCTTCTTTAGATACCAACTAGACCTCATCAGTCCTCCCTTGCCTTCAGGGAAATAGTCTCTCTCCATCTCCCCTTGTGCTTATCTTTCCAGTGTCTTCTTGCTCCCCCTAACCCTTACCATCCATATTGGCCCTTGTCCTGGTCTGGACAAGGTTCTTTCCTGGCTTGTTCTGTATATTCACTCACTGATCAGAGAGCTGGATCGATCATCCAATAGAACAGAATCCATTTACTAACAGTAACTGGAAACTTAACAAATAAGTTCATTTCCTATGCATTTTTTCGAACAGACATATATTCTCCAGCTTCTATAAGATTAAGATCTTGAGTGAGGACACAATGATAATTCCAATTTTGAGTCAAAATGTTTTTGTTCATTTCCATAAACCCATAGGTGAAAGGCCATTATAGCAGCATTTTCCTTGTCAAACAATCCATCCCTTCTAATATTGATGAACACTTTGTTTTATAGAAAGGAAATGGTCAGGAATGACCTGTCCCTCATCCCTGTACACTCAGGTTGCAAGCCTGGCTGAGTCATTCCCTCATGGGAGCTCAGCATGCTGCAGGACTGTCATGTCTCAGGAATGTCATGCCCCAACATGCCAGCATGTCCTCACAACTGACAGGGAGAGAAGTGAAATCTCCCACTCTATTTGCCTCCACTGAACTCAAACTCCAAAATACCAGTTCTGGCCCATTTAATTCTTGTTTTCTCTCCTGCGTAGGTTCATACTCTTGAGTGCACACAGGCTCTATTCCATGGACTCTTACTCCACACCTCCTAGAAGCAGCCTCTCCCACCTCCATTTTCCAAAGTGTCAGAGTGTGCCAATTAAGAGATCTGAAAAAGAGGCTCCCATGCTTGAGCAGCAAAGTTCAATAGACTGCCTTAGGTGAGAGCAATGCAATCTGCAACTGCAATAAGGCATGTAAAAGGTTTGATCACATAATTTTTGGAATTTTTGGTATGCCACTTGTAGCTCATAATAAAAAGTGTGTATTTGGGCCCTCCCAGTGAGTTAAAGCACATCACTCAGAAGCTAAAGCCACTTCCGCTGAGTTCGATTCCCGCCTGCCCCGGAGGTGACCACATGGTGTGGCAGACCTCTCTCCTGACCCGCCCGCTGCTCCCCTCAGCAGCGTGCTTAGTCAGTTGGCCTATTCTGCTCCCCACTCTGTCTCTGGTGAATCCTCTCACTGCCCCTGCACCCCTGGGCTGTACTCCAGTTCTGTATACATAAATAAGCAAATCTTTAAAAAAAAAAAAAAAAAAGAGAGTGAATTAGAAATCAAGTCTTTAAACCTTTTCAAAACAATTAGATACCAAGGTGATATCCTTATCTCTGAAAACCTTAGGAAACCCCCTTGCAGAAAGCCTTGT